TCCACATCCCAACACCTCTGCATCATTTGCACATAATCATCAGGCATTCCAGATAATATTGGTGGTCGTAAACCTTCTTCGCATATATCATAAATCAAACAATGATTATGAGCTCTATTATCAAATGGCGGATGACCTGCAAATATTTCCCACATTAACATTCCAACACTATAGACATCAGTTTCTTTTGTATTCTTTACATCAATCCTGTCTCCAAGTAGCTCAGGTGCAAGATATGATACAATTCCATAGACTTTATTTGATGACCTTTTGTCAACTGGTCCACATAATCCCAAATCTGTAATATAACAAACACCTCCACTTATTAATAGATTACCACTATGTAAATCACAATGAATTAAATCTTTTTCATGTATCTGACATAATGCATCACATAAATCATGAATGATTTTAATTCTGTTTTTCAATGTTAAATTTAAATGATTTTTTTGTAAATAATTCCTTAAATTTCCTTCAGGCATATTATTTAAAACAATTGCATAATTTCCATTATCTGGGAATTTAGTTATACCATGACATTTAACAATTGTTGATGATTTAATTTTACAATAATTCATTGCCTGAAATTAATATAAAATTGATCAGTATTGTATAATAGAGTATTGTTTATTTTTGTTTTAAATGACAACTACCAACCTCATCAAAAAAATCTTGTCCTGGATTACTTGAATCATTTAAACTTTTTAGTACTACTTTCTGCCTTCCTAAATAACCAAACTTCTTTTTATTTTCATCATAATCATTTATTTTTCCTCTTGTCCATGTAGCTCTATAAATTGAACTAAACCCGCCTTCAGTCAACTTTGTTATTTTTTCAAATTGCTCAAAAGGTATCCATTCTAAAATATAATTTGGCAGAGATGATTTCATTTGACATTGTTGAATAAAATTATCAATTACATTATTTCCAGATGTCCAAGTGGTGAAAAGACTTTGTAATTTTAAATTGATACAACCTTCACAGAATTTATCCGAATATCTTGTTAATTTGCAATAGTTACATTTTTTTGGTTTTCCTGATTTATGTTTTGCATTTTTAGATTCAATTTTGTAAATAAACCTTTCCTTACAATATTTTTTTTCATTTTCAGAAAGCTCCTTGTTTTTTTCAACCAATGAAAAAAAATAATCCTTTTCACTTTCTTTATCAGAATTAACCACTGCATTATTATATATTTCATTATGAATTTTATGTACAAATTCCTTTTTTTCTGGTGATAATGATGATAATAGTTTATTATATGACATTATAAATAAATGTTTTTATAAAATATAAAATTTGGCTTTGTAATAGAGTGGAGAAAATGAGAAGTTTGAGAATAAGAGTTACATTATTTCCTTTTTTCTTTGGAGAATTAAATGGCGTGTAACAAACAATTTGTATTAATTTTTTTTTTAATAACATAATCTTGTGACATTTTATTGATTGTAGATATCAGAGGCCTGCATCGATCGGGTTTGGTCTTGACGTAAAATAACTTCAGGTCGGGTTCAGGTTGTAATTTACAACAATTATGTCCCGAATTTAAATCATGTATTTTTCCACAAAATTTTTATTGGCGAGTTGAGTAGGCTAGGCATATTTAGAAATTAAAAATTTGACAATCGCGAATGATTGTAAAAAAATGAAAAAAAAATTTTTATTGATAAAATATATACAAATATATACATATTTATATATTCACACACACTTCTCCGAACCATAATGGTGTTGGTTCTGACAGTAATAATGATAATGATGATAATTCTATGCAAGCAATATTATCAACTACAATTAATAATATGTTTAACCTCGACATGTTTCACTCGTAATAGAATTTTTCCTGACACAAGTTAGGAGTCAGCAAAGATCCTTTCAATCGAAATAGATCATAATTTTTTTCTCAAATATGTTCCGGGAAACCTAGCACAACGATTTAACGCAACATTCTCTCCTAAATAGTTTTAATTATTCATATTCAACTGAGAGCTACACTTAGTCATAATTACTATAAAAATTTTCATTGGAAGAAGGTCTGCAGGCTAAATTCCGTCACAATGTGCAATTGACGAAAATAAAATTGTTGTCGAGAACAACAACTAATTAAAAAAAAAAATAAAAAAATAAATGATGTGAACAAAAACAATTTGTTTGTGAATCTCTAGCTATATAGGTAAATATCGGGAAACTGTATTATCTTGATGCACAAAATTTTTTATCCTTACTATAATTTCTAGGATCTGTCTTATTTCATTAGGATCTGTGTAATCAAGACATGGAATGTCATCTCTAGATTGATTATTCCACCCTGGATACCTGTATATATACATACTATTACCCGGTAACCCATTAGGCAAACTATTGAGGTAATTAAAACCAATCTCAGCCTTGTAAAATGTAAATCGTGTCCCAATTACACGTATAGCAAATAATGTTTGAAAATAGTATCTCCCTTTTATTTCCAAATGGTTTACATATGTTGAAGCTAATAATTCCCCCGCTATTTGGAATTCACCCCACCAAGTTAATTTTGTCAACGTTTTTTATGTGCTTGTCTTCATCAACTATTATAAATAGTTTTTGAGAAAAGTCGGTTTCTGACGTCACAACTTTGTTGTACACCTTGAAATGACAATCTTCAAAGAAAACGGATATTCATTAAATTCTAGAACTCCTAAAAGGAAGTTGACAAATGAGTCGGCAACTCTTTCACGTTTTCCTGCTTCTGCATACTCTTTTAACAATATTTCTCATATATATTCAGCTAGTGTTCGTTCTTTATTACCCCAACCCACTGTAGGGGCATCGTCAATCCAGACATTAAAAGGCTGTTGCCCGTTCGTATTTCGCAAGAGAAGACTGTCAAATTTCCCATATCACCAAACATTCTATCAGTTTCATTTTGGTAATAAATATTAAGTGCTTTTATGTCTCTCAATCGAAAATCATTAGTACTATTGGCAAGTTTAGATGGCCTTCTCAGTTTTGTGGTTAATATATATGTTGCACGAGTATATTAAGAGATTTGCAGAGAATCAAGATAAAAATGAAAGATTCCTATCTCACGCATCGAAAAATTTTGCGAGCTCTGATGTTTATGGTAATGCAATTACCATCAGAGAAAATGGCGATATGAATGATGAAAGTATCAAGGAAGTTAGACACCTTCTCAGAAATGGATATCGGTATGGATCTTGACAATTACATTTAATTCATGATCCTTTTAAGAAGGAAAGGATTTTGTTAATGATCGGTGGGTGCATTTGTAACATTTTATAGTAAAAATCATTCAGTTCGCTTCAATATTACTATTGTGTTGCAACGTGATGCTTCCATTTGCATGTTCGTATATAGAACAAACAATTGGTTATCGATGAACAGACGAACATTTTTAAAACCCGTTCTTGTTCTATTGCAAAAATATGCTGAGATTATGGGTATTTTTTTCGCCAATTTACTATATGCAATGTAAATATTCAGAATACACATGGTCTACTTATACGTGAGTCATGTGAACAAAATTTGACCATGCCGATCATATGTTATAATCAAAAATGGCCGTAGTACAAATGTCCGCATTAGGTGGTTATAAATACTTTTTCTATTACTGTACTTCATTTTGAATTTTTCAAAATGGTTCCAGTCGAAGAAACAAACAAACAAAATTTCGTTAGACCACGTCAAGATTGTCCTCACGTTATTAATAATGAAAATATTTCTAATACTTGGAATGATCCAGTTGATGGTAATGATAATAATGATAAATAAAATGATAATGGTGATTGATAATGATGATAATTTTTTGCTGGAGGTAAAATCTTTTTTTAATTAAAAAAAAATAGCTTCCAAACCTTGTGCCAAGTGTAATGACGCAAAAGAAAATTGGCTTTGTTTGAAATGCCAACAAGTATTTTGTAGTAGGTAAGAAAGAATTGCTGCTTTTTTGAAAGTTAATGACATTAATTTATTGGTTGGTAAAGAAGACAATATGATGATGATGGCAATGATTTATTTCAAATAATTAATTATATTAATTATTATATTTTATACATATAGATACGTTAGTGCTCACATGAGTGAACATAATCAAGAAACATCTCATCCATTAGCCATCTCTTTTAGTGATATGTCTGTGTGGTGTTATGAATGTGATGATTATATAGATAGTCCAGTAAGTAGTTCTTTAATTGATCGATCAATAATTATACATACACAAGAAAAGGTTTAAAGATTTCCAATTTTTATTCCAATAGAATCTCAAACAAATCATTACAGCATGTTATGTCTCTAAATTTGGTGAATTGCCACCAAATTCTAGTGGTATACAAATCTTGTCTGATGATAGTGGTGCAACCTCTTCATCTTAAATATTTAGAAATTCAATTGTGGAATTCTATAAAAAGTCATTCATTATTTGATAATAAAATATGGTTACTGGTAAAAAAAAATATTGTTGCATTAGTGTTATATAGTTGACTTTGTATTTTTATTGCAATAAAACTTTTCTCCAATATTTCAATATTAATCTCTTGATCATTTAAAAAAAATTTGTGCCATACTTTTTCATTTCTTACCAAAAAAAAAACTTCCTCTTTTTTCTTATGGGGTTAGCCCAGCAAAATAATACACAATTTCATATTAATAAAATATTCACAAGTTATTGCAGCAAAACCAGACAAAGTGAACATTATATCAATAAAGGTTTCTGCCAATATAATGACATTTTTATTACAATTATCCAATATATTCTTCCATATAGTATCAAATCGATTATCTGCAAACGTAAGCTTAATTGGTTCTTATTATAAAAATTAAGCCTTTGAAACAAAAATTCACAAATATATTGTGATTCAATTGTTTGAAATAAATAATAATACCAAAACAATGAGAAAATTTGGCAGTGTTGAAAAATAAATCCTTGATATTTTTGTTAAATTTTGATACTTCTTTCCCATGTACGATGAAAGTTCCATTGCCTTGCTTGGTTCTTGAATGGTGTCCCCGCGACAAATAACAGTTTATAATAAAGGCGCGACTATCAATATATGTGACGATTAAATTACCAAAAAGATTCCTTTTTATAAATAAATTTGTATTTTAAGTAGGATAAATAATTAGCGTGTACATGTCGATCAAATAACAAACTTTTTCAAAAAATTTTAAAAGATGCCTAAAGAATCTAGAAAAAGAAGCAGACAAACAGAAACGAGGAATGATGAGCAAGTGTTTTAAGGATGGCGGTGGTGGTTATCGCCCGCCACTCGTCGTTACTCTAGTTTAAAAATTTAAAAAATGTCCAACAGATTAAAAAATACACGAAAAAGAAGCATAGAAGACGAGCGCGTTGAAGCGCAAATTGGGTAAATGTTTTAAGGATGGTGGTGGTGGTTATCGCCCGCCACTCGTCGTTACTCTAGTTATTATTTAAGAAATGTTCTAGTTCTAAATTAAAACCTTTGATTTTTTGTATTTCTTAGAGCGTCAAATGGAAAAAGAAAAATCTTGGATTTTATAGATGTAATTAAATTATATTAATCTTCAAAAGGGACAAAATTGATTATTATTTAACATATTGACATTAATATTAATCTAAATTTCCATATCAAGACTAATCAACCAGTTTACGGCGAAACCGACATTGAGTTAAATTTAAATAAAATTTTAAACGAACAAACCGAAAATGTATATAATAAACTAAATTTCAATTTTTATAGTATGTTTTTTAAGCATTAAACATAACCATTGGGTATTTTTCTATGTTATAGTGGATGGTGGGTACTGTCAACGTATTTGAAAAATTCAAGAACTATCAAAGAGATTTGGTCTCCAAGATCAAAAATCAAAAATCAAAACTAACATGGAATCATACATACGAAATACTGGAAGTATTCTTAAATATTTATTATAATTACATCTAGTGTAAAAATTGTGTGATATTGCTAATTTGCGAACCAGGCAAAAAAAACTTTTTTTTACAAACTTATATTTATATTTTAGCGCAATTTCATCAATAATGGTTATTACGTATCCATGTCCCTACAAACCTTTCTTTACATCGACAGAATGGAACGAAATCATGAAATCGAATCCGTATAAACCATGTCAACCGGGTCTAACAAAGGCCATTTCTACATCATTGCTCAAAGCATCGTATAATGTATTGTTAAATTAAAAAACTGAAAAAAGTTTATTATTATAATAATTTAGCTTTAAGAAATAAAATAAAGATAAAATAAAAAATATAATAAATAAATAATTTATAGTAAGAGATTAAATTAGTCATTCATCAATCCTAGAATCTAATGTTATTATTAGTTAATTAAAAATATTGTTAGTAAATGGATAGTAATTTCC